CTGCATTGCCCCCTTCTCTGGCAGCATGGTCACTGGCACCCAGCCTGGAAAGGGCTAAGAGTCTGTGATGCCCAAGGTCACCCATTGGCTGCATGGCTGAGCTGAGTGGAGACTAGAACCCAGATCCCCTGAGCAGACATTTTGGGGTACTTTCAAAGTATTCCACTGGCCCAGGCATGTATGGCTGTGGCTGTGATTCAGCATGTGACTGAGTAAAGAGAGCACACAGGCTGTATGCAGAAGGTTTCGGGTACTTTTCCTTGGCATCTCCAGTGAGCAGAATAGAATGGAAGAGTTGAAAGGGGCCGAGAAGGCCACTGGGTCTGAGCCTGTGCTCAGTGCAGGACTCCGAGTTAAAGTATCCTCTCAGATGGCTGCCCAGCTGCATCTTGAATGTCTCTGGGCTAGGAGAGCCCATAGCCTCCCTCGGTCACAGGTTCCACTGTTGTGCTACTCTCCCAGTCAGGATGTTTCTCCTGATGTCCAGCCGGGACTTGAGGCCGCTATTCTGAATCCTGCACTCTGGAATGAGAGTTTCAGGAAAGAGGAACGAGAGCTTTCCCATTGCGGAGTCAAGAGATGCTGCGACACCAGCAGCCAGTGAACCAGTGAAGTCTCTCTACACTCTTCTCCACATGACTGTTTGAAACATCCTGGCTTGTGGTGGCACCTGAAGCCGTGCTGCAAATCCCAGAGTTGCCCAGTAAGAGTTGCTTCTTACTGGTTGTATGGAAAAGCTGCTTGTAGAGCAGGTGGCATGAATGTAAGTCAGGGGCTTTGACTGCTCCTCGTGTCGGGAAGCTGAATCCGGTTATGCTTCCCTCCCCTCGTACAAGCTGGCTCAGCACTGTAGAAAGCCTCCTGCAAGGCAACTCCACTGCCCTGTGTTGATGCATCCACTGCCCCACCCGTAATCCCATCCCCAGTTCCTCGAGATTCACCTTTATGCTTTCCTAATCTTCTGCACGTTCTCATACATTTTGTGGGCGTACATGTCCTTTTCCTTTAATGCAACTTAATTGCAGTATACTGAAAATTGCAAACAGCTGAAAAAGAATCCCCCTCTTCCTCCTGCAGGCACACACACCAGCCTCCAATGACTCAAAGAAGCGAGAAAGCCTGGCTGTTTGCATGCCCTAGATCAGGTTTCTTTCTGTGCTGTGACCTCAATAATTTCTTTAATTAAAAAAGAGGGACTCGATAGCTTTCGAATGCATTTCCTGGCGCTCACCAGGACTGCTGCTGCTACTGCAGGAGAAGAGTCTCTGTTCACAGAGGCAGCAGAGAAATTTAAGGCCATAGGCAGAAGGGCGGAAGAAAAGAGATTTAATAACCTAATTTGTGGCATCATCACAAAGCACCGAGGCTTTTGGTGGGTGGACGGCAGCGAGGTGTGATCCTTGGTCTTTTGCCAGATGGAGCACAATCACCCTGCAACAGCCAGTTTTTGGGAAGTGTACCTTTGGGAAGGGGTGTATTGCTGAGTTCAGTCTGCCCTGCAAGGCAAACCACATGGTCTTTGGGGAAGGCCTGAGGTCAGAGGCCGCATATAGATCAAAGAGGGCCAGGCGCCACCAAGCAGCAGGCTACAAGAGGACAGACCCCAAAGAAGAAATGGCGGCACTCTTGTTATTGCCTGCGGTCCCCAGTGGAGCCACTCTGGTGTGCACTCAGCGATCTGTGTAGCCCCCCTGGAGGATGGCACATCCCCTTCGCCAGCCACAAGCAGGGCTTTACCTGCGACAGGAGGCCGCGTGCCAGAGCTGCAAGAGCAGGCCCAGACACTGTCATGGGGACCAGGCTGAGCCAGGGGCGGCCCCCTGCCCTGCCCATCTCCTTGTGTGACAGGTGCCAGCAGTGCCCTTCCATGCCGCATGAAGGACAGGCAGCCAGATCCTGCCCTGAGGAAGGAGCAGACCCAGGTCTGGCCTGGCAGTGGCAGGCTGTGCTTCAGCTGCCCAGCCCCTTGAGCGAAGGGACTTGAGAAGCACGTTCCATCATACCACTGCTGAGCAGCTGCTCTTGCTTCCCAGCTGCACCCCGCATGGCAACAAGCAGTGTATGTTGTGACTGGCCGCAGGAGAGGCAATTACCGCTGTCCGTGCTTCTGCATTTCAGTTCCCTCTGTGCTCACTGCTTACAGTTGCCCACGCCCTGCCAGCTCGGTGAACGTGAATCCACCTGCTGAGGGTCCCACTCCCTGCACCTGGTGGAATGAGCTCCGTCCACGAATGCTTCGGGCACCATAAATGTGTGAGGCTGTTCTGCAGATTCTGCTGGTGGGGAGATCAGCCCTCGGCTTTGGCAAGGTCGGGGACCTGAGAAACGGTGGGAATCTAGGCTGGGTGGGGCGGCATCCTCCAAACCAGTGCTGACTGTGGGGTGGGAGGGGGAGGCTTGTCAGGAGCAGCTTCCCACATGAGCAGAATTGTGCCCCAAATAGCCACCCCCTCATCGCTCTGGAATTCCAAGAGAGGCATTTACAGGGAAAGGAGCGACCTTCTTGGCCACCCATAAGCCACACTGAGTTTTACAAAATTAAGGGCTGGCCTTGCATATGTGGGTCAGAATTTTATCCTGCCTTTAGCTGGATCGCAGGGGCCACGCAGCTTAATCAATAGCTATTGATTTGTTACAAGCACCTCATTATCCCACTGGGTGGGCTGCAGGCAAGACACGGGCCATGCCCCAAGGACATCTGGCATGAGAGCTGTCCCAAGGAAAGCTGGGCAAAGTGGATGCTTGTGTGACCCATGGAGTTACAAGCAGGCAATGGGCTTGGATCTGCAGGTGGGTCAGCAGTCTTCCCTTCTCAAGGCTGAACATGCCCAGTTCCCTCAGTCTCTCCTCGCAGGGCAGTGTTTCCAAACCCTGGATCATTTTAGCTGCCCGCTTCTGGACTCTTTCCAGCTTTTCTGCATCTTTCTTAAATCTTGGTGCCCAGAACTGGACACAGTATTCCAGGTGAGGTCTGACCAGTGAGGAGTATAGAGGAGCTGCTACTTCTCGTGATTTGGAAGCAATACTTCTGTTAATGCTTTCCAAAATAGCATTGGCCCTTTTGGCCTTTGACTGGTGCCACATTTTGCTGCCCAGTGTGAAGAACAATGTGGCACCTGTTCCTGTTCCACATGCAAAAGCTGGTGGGCCAACACGTGAATCTTGAGGGTGGGATGCATGCGTCCTTACTCGCATTTAGTGCCCCCCTTTCCCCAAAGAACCCGGCCCGGCCACTTGGCTTTGCTTGCTTTATCGGACCTCTTTGCAGCCCGATTTTTGCCACTGCCCGCCTTGGGGCAGTGCGGATGCCCCCGTCTGCTGCTAGGAGCACTCCCAGGACTGGCTGTTCCTCAGGCTAGCTCGGAAGGGGCGAGCAGACAAGGGCCATTGCTCAGCAGTGCAGCCGTTGCCTGTCAACTCTGCCTTGGCCGTGGCATAATTCTTTCAGCCATGCTGGCAGTGCCTGGAGCATTCCTTCTGGTTTGGCAGTGCAGCTCCCCCCTCCCCAGTTCAGTCATGCCTCAGCTTCCCAGCAGGAGTTGCTTTCATCTTTCAAGCATCCTTTTGTGGCTGCAAGGGGCAGGATGTGCTGCTTTTAGAAGGGCAAGTTCAGCAGAAAGCCAGTGCTTGGCCATGGGCTTTCTCCGTGCTCCAGAGAAAAGTCCTTGGTTGGAAGAGGAAGCAGTTTCCTCAGAGAGCCTCGGGGTCTTGAGCTGCCGTGACCCAGTGCTGGCCCCACACAGCCTGCGAGCCAAAGAGGGGCTGATCAGCCCACCTCCATGGTGCCAGAGCAGCACCTGTGGCCCTTGCACTGGCTCTCAGCTGCTGGGCACCAAAACCAATTAATTTCTGTCCTCCCCTTTCTGGAGGATGGATGATCCTGCAGCAGATCACTTGCATGGTTTTCCTAATGAGCCGAATACAAGAAACCAGAAGAGAGATTTCGGATGGTGCGAGGGAGCTGTGCGTTGGTTGTGTCTTCTGTGGAGACCCTTCTTGGCAGTCCCTTTTGGGAACTGGTGCCCTTCAAAGGGACTGCCAGAGCCTTCCGACCCTTTTCACTCACCACCTTTCCCTTATAACAGAAGCTGGCTCAGAAGGATATTACAAATGCTAACATCTTGTTGAGCTTTCCCCGCATTTTGGGGGCTTCCAAGTTTGCCCCAAAGAAAACAACCTTGTCTGAACTGGAATTTGTATACTCTGAAGACAGACTCCGGGTTTTGGGGTCCAATTCTGAGCGGGTGAGTCTTCAAAGGCTATGTGTTCAAGGAAGCAAAAAAACCCAAAAACAATTATTTGTTACATTTGTGCTTGCTTGTTTGTTTGTTAAAACCTTTGCATCCTACCTTTCACTGAAACCCTCATTCACCCTTTGTAGCTAACAAATCATTGTTGCACTTCCCACCCTGCATTAATCCTATGCATGTCTACACGGACCTAGATCCTTTTGAATTCCATAGGACTTAACTTCTGGGTTAAATGTGTCTCAGATTGCAGCATGTGAATAGTTATCATTGAATTAGCAGGCAAAATCCTGTTGTTTAAATAGCAGTCAGTGTTATTGAACAGGCCCAAAACAGCCAGATCAGTTACCAGAGATTTAACTTTCAAGATCTTCTGAAATAAAGTCACCTTTGCCTGGTGCCAAAATACTAATAAAGGTCACTGTAGTGAAGGCTGCATCCTGCATCCTGGTTTAGCCTAACTCCAGCTGTGGAGAAGAGGAGCAAAAGTGCGTGTGTAGAGGGGAAATAGGGAGATCTTTGGCAGGGCTGGTGCTTTTTTCTGGGAAAGTTGGGTGGGGGGTGTCCAACTGGGGCAAGCCCCACCGGCCCTTGGCCTGTTCCTACTTTCCTTGCTATTTCTTCTTTCTTTCTTTCCTTCTATTTGTTTTTCACAGTCATGCGGAGCGATGCTAAGAATGTCGGGAACTGGCACGTCATTAGCATGCCCACAGCTTTATTCTCATATGCACCTTCCCCACTTTTAATCTTCAGATATCGTCGGTGACCTCTTTGACGACGCCAGCTTACATGCATTCCATTCGCTGGGCTGCTTGGAACCCGTCACCAGACGTGAGTTCTTCGGATGTGGTTCTCCCACTGCAAGGAGGAGCCCAGGATAATCCCAGCCACGTTTTGGTCTATAAAACTCCACCGGCAACCATGAGCTCTAAAGAGGTGAGAAAGCAGCCCCGGTGCCTCCGTTTGGAGAGAGGCTGCTCAGGCTGGGGGCCAAGGGGCAGCCTACCCCAGGCAGGGGATCCCAGCAGTGGGAAGTGCACTCAGGCTGAGCAGCCCGGGCAGGCAGCAGCCTTGCAGGCCAGCCGGAGCCCGTTGGTCCATGGAGCGCCAGCTCTGGCTGTGTGTTATGACTGAGTGCTGAATGGTGCTTGGGCCATGGTTAGTCATGCAAGATCTGCCCAGAATCCCACCCTCCCATGCTTGCGTGGGGCATCAGAGGGTGGAGGGGGCGGGGGCGGGGGCAAGCCAAGCCCAGATCAATCTGGAAATGCACAAGAATGCTAGTGGGCCTTTTCTTGTGAGTAAGTTATTCTCCACCTTCGCATGCAAGGCCCACAAGTCACCTGTGTGGAAGCAGATCTTGGCTTGCATGCAGGTGCCATGTGCTGACCTCACTGGTTACACCTGTGCACCTGTCATGTAATCCGCAGCAGTTGGATTTGCTTCCTGCTGTGTGCCAGTGTGAACACTCAGGGAGCGTCAGGCTTAGGGCAGAGAGGAAGCGGGATTCCCACCTGCAAACAGGATTCTGCACACATTACTGATCGCGACCACTTCTGCCATAGGCTGATCCTACACTGGACAGAAGCCTTTGTGCTTGACCACACGCCCGCTTCCTTGCCTTGGTCTTTGGATTGTCCCAGAATGTGCCTTAAGACTGTGCCTGATTCAGCCATAGCAGAGCAGGTTAGGTATGGACCGGGAAGCTGGGATTCTCGGAAAAGTACATTCTGCAGCTTTTCTCCAGCTGTGCAGGATGAAAGGAACACGTGTTGCCTTGGCTTATACTGAGAGCCTCTGCCTTCAGCGTGGCTGCAGCACCTGTTTCTTTGTCTTTGGCAAGGAGGAAAAAAGGGAGAAGGGTCTGTATTGGATTTTAAGAAACTATCAGAACAGGCAGCAAGAAGCATTGTGCATGAACTCCTTGCTCCGAGACTGTGCATTTTAGACACAAAAATAATGGAAGTCCCCCCTGAAAGCAGCAGAGACATTGATGCTTGAGAGGCTGTGGCATCAGGCAGACTTGGATGGAGAGAGGTTCCTCTTGTCTCAGGAAGACCCGTGACTGGAAGCTCACACTGATACATATGCAAAAATGCCTGGCAGTCTAAGATTTGAGATCTTAGGTACCCAGATCCCAGGAGAGAAACCATGCAAACTAAATATTTGAGATGACAATGGCTGTCAGGACTATTAAAAAGGAAGGCGGAGAGGTGAATCTTATGCTGGTACCAGGAGAGAGTTCCTTAATATAAATCATCTCACCATATATTTCTTAGCATTTTAGGGGCAGAGGGATGAGGGCCTGTCCTCCATTTCTTCCTCACTAGACTGTGCATTTGCCCTGATTTTGTGGGAGTACAGAAAGCTTGTCAAATGTTGCATAAATTGAAGACAGCTCCCTGCCAATCACAGATTTCTTTGGGGAAAAAAGCACCAGGTTCCTAGCCCTTATGAGGTGCCTGTGTCTAAGGAAATTGCATAGGCCACTGAGGTGGCCAAACAAGACTTCTGGTGGCTAGGGGATGAAGCATTTGTGCCTGCATAGTTCTTTTCTTTCCTCCTGACAAAACCCAAAATGAATTATACAAAATAAGAGAAATGACATTGCATAATTTATACAGTTCATGGAATTCAGCTTTTTCTGAACGGAAGGCTGGATTGCATTGGCAAAAAAGCCCCTTAATGCTCAGTTCTTTAATGCTGTACTTTCATCTGTTGCAGCATTGGGAAAAAACATTTCCGCCTCCTCCCCTCTCTGTTCTGAAATTTCAGGTGAAGCAGGTGGAATCCGGAACTGTCCAGTTTCACGTCTCCACCAGCTCTGAAGAGCGCCTTGGGAATGCCGGAAAGCCCTCGGGTAGCATCAAGGAAGAACCGCGTCTCTCCAAGACAAAGAGCCCCCCTGTGCCGTCCCCCAGTGAGTGTTTTTCGAGTTTGCTGGCTCTTCACATGCATAGTGGGACGCCTGTTCCAGTCCACACTGGGGAGAAGTGCTCTGCAAAATGCAGTGCTATGGAAACCTAGAAACAGAGCAAGTCCCAGGCCATCTAGTCTGACCCCCGGCTCCAGCCAGCTCCTCTCATGAAATAGGTATCTGGGGGCTGCAGGTGGGGGAGGGGGAAAATTGAGCCCATCCTATTTGGCTGCGGGGAGCCTCAGAAGCAGAGGGGCACCAACTGGTTTCCTCCTGTGCTATCACAAATCCTCCCTGCCCTTGCTTTTCAGTTCTGCTCTTTGTGCAGAGTGCATGTGGCTTCCTTCAGGGTGTCTGTGTTGCCTCCCAGCCATGGTGAATGCACAGCGGATTCTGAGAAACATTTTCGAAACAGTCATTTTTAGAAAACCCTTTTTTGCCCCTCCTGGGACAAGACACCTTTTTAAAGGTGGCAGCATGGCAGGGAGCTGCATTTTGTGCCAAGCTCCCAACAGCTCATGTCTGCATTGGCGAGACCCCACCAAAGAAAGCAAAGTTGCTGTGATCGTATTTATGGTTGCATCCAGTTTCTTTCTGTGCACTGTTTAAAATTGCCAAGCGAGAAGACAGACAAAATCACAGCTCACAGCGTTCGGTCAATCGGGGCCCACAACCGAGTGGAGCTTGCTCGTGAGTTTCCCTCTTTGTCTGTGGCTCTTCTGAAGAGGGGCTTGGGAGGGCGTTGCTTCTGGCCCATGGGGTGGGGGGGTCCTTAATGAGTAGGCAGCTGCTCGGGCCATGCAGGAGTGCGTGCCACCCTCCCCCAAGAGCCACCCCGGCACTCCTAAGGTGAGGCTGATTCCCCGCCGACAACATCGCACGATCTAGCCCTGAGTCCAAAAGCGTGGGCCTTTCTAACGGGACAGGGCACCTTTGGGTCCAGCCTGCCATTTGAGGAACCAGGCCAGGCACCACACAAAGCTGCTGCCATGGAAACGATGGCAAGAGGCTGGTCAGTTCCCCAAAAGACTGGACTCGGTGGTTGTGGGGGGGGGGTCCGGTCTCTACACAGCAGCCAGCAGGACCAAAAACGCCCATTTCCCCACAGGCCCAGCTGCCAGCAGGGAAAGCTGTGGATGCAGAACAGTCGGACCAACCTACCTGTGGAGTGTGTAGGGCACCTGTGTGCCCCTCCGTGCCCAACCTGGTGCTCTTCCACCTGACGCCACATGTCTGTTTCTGCTGCCTGTGCCACATGTCCCTCTTTGGGGTTTCCTGGGGGCCCCATGCTGGTGCAGTGTTCTTCTGTGGGCTGGAAGAGCACTGGAAGCTGTTCCCAGCCAGCTGGATGTGAAGCCCTCACGTATCTCTCACTGTGGATGGAGCTCTCACCAGAACGGAGCTACCATTTGTCTCCCAGCAGCTTGTGGATTTGTTGTTGTTTCTGTTTTTCGAATGAGGTGGACATGAGCGTGCATTTCACCTTCTGACATCGGAAGTGGTGCAGTCTTGTAGCTGTACTGCAGAACTCTGTAGCTCACATGCTCGACTTTACCATCCAGTCAGTAAATGAGAAAGTAGAAAATTGCATTGAACTCTCAACCCCACCGTGTTGGCTTCAGTTCAGGAACCAGCGAAAGGGATTAATGCATTTATACAGGCATTTATACTGTTTCTTTTCATCTGGAGTGGGTAACGAACAGTTTTGCATTAAAAGGTGAAGTGAAGCAGAGTATCCCCCCGTTCATCAAAATCTACTCTGCTCTGCTCTCTTTAATCTTTTCCCATTTATCTGTGGCTGTTTTAACCAGGCTGCTCCTGACTTAACAGCCTGTGTGAACACCCAGATGTGACTTGTTACTTTATTAACATGGTGGAGTTGCTGAGATCTCAAGGATTGCAGGTACCGGAAGATGAGCCAGTGGGAATCAAGCAGCAGGAAGTGTTTTGGGTGACTTCATTGCAGGATCAGGTGGGACCATGATGAGAGAGTTTAAAAATTTAATGAACCAGTGGAGAGCTCTGGCTGCCTTTGGAAAATGCGACTTGCTTTAGAAACTTGTTCTGCAAGGCTTCAAGGAGCTGCAGGTGTGTATCCCTGCCTTCTCCGACCAAGTGCCCTCTCGACAGGGCAGACAGCAACTCCCAGAATGCCCAACCATGGACAGCCATCAGGCAGGGCTGTTCTAAACAGGAATGCTGTGCTAGCCGGCCCAGTGCTCTCTTCAAGCTCCAGGAGTCTATGCAATTGCCGCCCAGCTGGCTCCGCAGGGGGAGGGCTTTGTGGAAGGAGCAACCTTCAGAGCTAGGTGTCGTTCCCCGTGCTCTTCCCAGATTGGTCTGTGAGGTGGAGGGAGGGTGCAGGTGTTTCCGGAGAAGGTGTAACTGTTCCCCAGCTGAGATCAGGGCGGGTCAGGGGGATCAGGCCTCCAGCAGAGGCATGGGGTGCAAAGGGTGGGGGAACCTGTTGGCTCATTCTGTTGTGGATGTCCTGCATCTGGACGCTTGCTTACTCTGGAGCAAACTGTATTCTCTGCTAAATGAGGGTCCTTTTGTGGCTAAAATGGCACGTCTGCACCCAAAAGGGGGTTTGGGCAAAACCTAGGGCTTGCGGAAGTCCAAGATAACTTCGGGGGGGGGGGGGGGGGGACACTACGGAACAGCTCAGTGAAGACTGTGCATGCTTATAGTTCAGCAAACCAGGGCAGAGCAGGAGTGAAATGAAGTACCCTGAGAAGGGGCACAGCCAGGTGACCTGCTTGCTGGGAACCCTGAGGAGCAGCTCTGTTGGGTGTATCTGCATTTACAACATTTGCCAAAGGAGCTAGGCTGGAAAGCTCTTTCCCTGAATTCTCGGAGAGCCCCACGTGCGAGACCAGGCCAGCTTCTCCAGTCTGGGGATCGCCAGCTGTGTCGAGTCCAACCCTCATCAGTCCCACCTGCTCCTCCAACACACCTGGAGTGGAAGGGGAAGGTTGGCCAAGGAGGTGCTGGTCTTGATGGACCCAGGACCTGATGCAGTATATGGCAGGATGCATGTTCCGGCATCTGCAGGGCCCGCCTCTTGCTAGGAGGGGGTGGGAAGAAATGGAGCACCTGGAACCCTTCTGAGCCAGTGTGGTTCATGTGTTCTTGCCCAGACGTGCATCACTTGAGCTTTATGATCCCCCCCCGCCCACGTATGCCTGGAAGTGTGATTTTCTGGGAGACCACAAGAGGCTAAAGGAAAGGTCTTGAGACCCTCCCCTCCCCTCCCCCTCCTGTGCCCGTCCCCTTCCCCTTCCCTTGAATATCTCACTGATGGTTCCTTTGGTAATCCTAATGATGCTGGCACTGTCAGCTTAGGGAAAGTACTTGGACCCAGAGAATTGAACAATGCTCCTGATTGTTTTTATTTCTTGTTCTAATCATAGACATGAGGCAGAGCTGTGTGTGGGAGGGTGCTGTTTGCCTCTGGGCCACTAGAGTGCAGTGTTTCCATGGGTTCTGCCTTTCGGGGGACCCGTGCTGACCTATATTCTGTTTGCAAATGCTTTTGCTTCAACGAGAGGGTGGGTTTTGTGTGTTGTTTAATGGGTTTTAAAACCTGGAGCTCAGATGGGTCAATTGAAAAAAGAGAGAAAAATTAATGGTGGCAATTTCAGTTAGACTCTCCTTGACATCATCCTGAGCAGTAGCTGAGTTAGCCGGGAACACTCAGAAAGGTGGAGCGGTGCTGAGGCGGGGATCTAGTTTATTGTGACAGAAATGGATGTGCTTGTGGCACTGCCGAGTCACCGGCATGCCTTTGAATTGAGCGGTGTGGCTCCGAGGGAGCTCCGTCTGGCATGCCTGGGGAGACGGGGCTTCACCTGGAGAGATGGCTGGGATGGAGTCCCAGGACTTGGCGGCTCCCTCGTTCCAGGCTGCAGCTGGCAGGAGGCCCAGGAGCATCCTGCTGCCGCTCTCGGAAAGAGGCTGCTGGGGGTGTGAGGCCTTTGGAGTGACCGCAAAGGGGCCTGCCTCTTCTTAGCAGGGTGCCAGAGACCACCTGAGCTATCAGCACGGGATGCACCAACACGCTCAGGCCACGGAGCACTTCTACTGCAGTGTGCCTCGGGTCAGCGCAGAGCGATGTGCTGACAGGTGGGGGGCTGTGTGCTGCCGAGTCCTCCCTGGCACTAGTGCGGGATTTCCTCAAGCACAGGAAGGTGGCCCCCCCAGGGCTGCACCCAAGCTCTGGGCTTCCCCAGATGGGCAGTCCCCCTTTATTATTTATTTATTTATTTATTTATTTATTAAAACATTTTTATGCCGCCCCATTCGCCGAAGCCTCGGGGCGGCTTACAACATAGATAAAACAAGTTAAAATCCATATAAAATAATCTTAATTAAAACACACATTATAAAATAAGCCGCCCTGGCCAGATAAAATTCAATTGTATTTAGCATTTAAAATGTTGCTTAAATAAAAAGGTCTTAGCCTGGCGCTGAAAAACAAATAACGACGGCGCCAGGCGGACCTCTCTGGGGAGCGCATTCCATAACTTAGGCGCCACCGCTGAGAAAGCCCTTCTCCGAGTAGCCACCCTCCTAATTTCTCTCACGGAGGGCTCCCGGAGAAGGGCCTCTCCCGCCGATCTCAGGGGGCGACTGGGCAAATATGGATGTAAGCGCTCCTTTCCCCGGCCCTCCCCGCTCTTCCTCAGGAGCACATTTCCTGGTGGCTTCCCAGTGCTGCCGCATCTCCCACCCCATCCTAAAAGGTGGCACTGCACCTTCCTTGTCCTCACTGCTAGCACTGAGAGCTTTCCGTTACAACTGCCCTCTCCACCTTTGGCCCTTGAGAGCTCCTCTGAAGCTGCATTTGGTTCTTGGGCTTGAAAGAGCTTCCCGTGCCAGGTTTAAGTAGTCCTGCAGAGAGGGGGGAAGCCTTCCTGCAGCCAAAGAGGCTGCACAAGGGATGCAGGCCTGGGAGAGCCCACGTGCCTCCCGTGGCCCTTGGGTGTGGCACAAGGTTGGGG